CTCCCGCACCCCACATCTGTTGCCTCATTAATTGGGGGGGGGGAGGGGTGCCACCTTTTAAACCAATTGATCTACAAAGGTTAATCCGTAGGCAGTGCAGTCTTATATCCCCTCAGAAGGAAGTCTGATTGAGTTAAATGGGACTTACTTCCAAGTAAGTGGGTGTAGCCTAAATGCAGACCTTGTAATTACAGCATGGAAGCAAAGTTGTGTGTGGAATGCAACCAATCAGCCTTCTTTCAAGGGAAGGGAGAAGTGCATAACCCCAATCCAGATTTCCAAAAAAATAATCATCATTTGATGCTGGCTTCCTTGACAACTGAGTAACTATTTGGTGCCCTCTAGGCTAGGGTAACAACATATTAGTCAACTCCCAAATGTAACCATGGAAGTGATATCTCTTATATACAGTTAGAACCCAGAGGACCTCTACATGTGAGGAAGCATGGAAGTTTGGAACTCACCAATGCACATACTGCCATCTTACAGCACTTTAAACATTTAGTTGGGTTTCCTGATGTTTATATGTGCCTGATATTGCACCCCTGATGTTATTACATCAATTACCAGATGTTTATACATCCATAGATGACATCCATGCTACACAGTTGCTGCAGAAAATGCTGGTGTACCTAACACTGGTGTTTCTGACAACAGTGAAACTTGTTTTTAGGTCTTTGGAATTTAGTAGGTTTTCTGGGTCACTTGAGACTTAGGCATCATACACACCATAGATTTAAAAGAATCCCAAGAATCTTGGGAACTGCAGTTTGCTAAGGGTGCTGGGAATTAGAGTTTTGTGAGGGCAAAACCATGATTATTTTGTGTGTGTGTGTGTGTGCTATAAATGTATGCTGTATATACAGCCTTACACCCAAAGATTCGCAGGACTCGTATGTCTGGTGTCAGAGTGGGAAGTGATCCCGTACCTCTCCTTTAGCTGATCTGATTGTGGGTGGGCAAGGATAGACACTTCTGCAGCATAAAAATAGATGAAGTGCATCACCCCCCGCACCCGATCCAAATTTGCATAAAATTCAAATATGGTAATTTTAAAAAACCCAAAAAACTTTCCTTTAAACAGAAATACAACTTACCACAGAGGAAGACTGTGAACCAGGTGATTTGTTTGTGTCTGCTGCCCAGGTACACAGTTCAGTCTACAGGCAACCCCCCTCAAGTCACTTCCTTTGCTCACACCTTATACAGACCAAACTAGTACACTCCGCACAGCTGGAAGGGGGAAGAGAAGTCCCATTCCCCAAAAGGTCTCTTCTTCTAGAAAAGCCTCAAAACTGTTTGTTTGAATGTTGTGGTTGTTTCCAGTTGTGATTACTTAATACAAATTAAAATCATCATCATCTCCAACCATTAGCTTCTATGGCAGATGATGTGTTTGGCAGGTTTGACCCTTCAAGCAGTCATTTCAGACTCCAGCACAGAACCACTCAGTTGGAGGAGACCTTGATGTTATCCAGCTCAGCCCAACAGCATTTTACAAAATATACTCTGCTCCCTCTCCAGATCCTCTAATCTCCTATCTAAGTGGCAAGTGGATGCAAGCTTGTATTGAGTGCATATGTATGTAGTTATGACATCAAGATCCCACATTTCTTTCAAGCTCAAGGATGTGTATATTGTTCTCCCCCTCTTCATATTATCCTCACAGCCACTGAGAGGCAGTGACTGGCCCAAGATCACCCAGTGAGCTTCACCACCAAGGTCCTAGTCCATGTTGGCTCTCGAAAGTTTCCTAAGGCTACTCAAGTCCTATTAGTGCTCAGCTTTGCGACTGAATGGGGATTTGAACCTGGGCTCCAGCGTCAAAGCCCAACACTCAAACCACTACACCACACACATTAATGCATGTATATACTGGCAATCAATACTAGACTTGTCTGCTCAGAATACATGTCTAGTATCTGCTCAGAAGTTACTCCCATTGCATTCAATCCTGTTTACTCCCCAGCAAGCATGCGTCGGATTTTGCCTTCAGGTCACAATCAAACAGCTCAGCTTCACGCTGCCAGCACGCAAAGCAGCGAAAAGCCAGACACACAGGAGAGGAGGCCAAAAGGCTTTGCAACATTAAGCCGCAGCAGCATGGGAACCATGCACAGCCTCTGCCACTCCCGCTATGACCAGTCGTATGCAGCAGCCACCAGCAAGGAGCCACTAGCAGCAGTGGCAGCAGCAACCAAGTCATGCATTTAATTGGTGTCTATTGGATTTCCCTCCCTGAAGCTATACTTTGTGCTACTCACTCTGACATGGAAGGCAGAAGTTTCATTTTGTATCTGCATCTGACTCAGAGACTTTTTTCTATACTGGCATTTGGCCTCCTGCCCTGACGGCAGTTTTTCTTGTATCATCAGGCTGAAATGTAGAATTTCCCACTGAGGAGATAGAGGAGTGTGTGTGTGTGTAAAAGCAGGGTGAGGGAGGAAGAGACATTGATGAATGGAATAAATCCCTGCCACTCTTCTAGTTTCTTCGCAAAAACACAGCGGCAAGGTCTTTCTTTATCCTGTCACATAAAGATGCCACTGTCTCCCTAGAGAATAGCTCTTGAGAGACAGCAGCTTCTTTACGATCAGCAAACCTACAGCTCTAACAATTGTAGAGCCATGGGGATAGTATAGGAGCACTATACTCCATCCAAATGGACTTTCTCCTCTGGAGAGCTTCTGGTAAGGGAACCCTATTCTGCAACTTGAGTTTTAAGTAAGAAACCCAGCTGTAGATGGCACCGGTTGGCTAGTACCTGTGACATCATCAATACACCTCCCATTAAAAACCCCTGAAGATGCACCCACTTTAAAAAAAAGCCAATAGCACAGGTGAAATGAAAGGAGTGCAGAAAATACTGATGGCTGAATCAGCATTCAGTTTGTGGGAAGCTAGCTACATAACCACACTGGACTTCTCACATCTGATATTAACCTAAAAAGAAGACTTTTGTTAATTTTTACAGTTATGCTACATGCTGAACAGATTCATCTATGCTTACATAGAGGGTTGGATTCTATTAGGCTGGAATATTGTTTTCATAACTTGCCAAGTAACTTTTATTTTATTAATACCTGATCTCGGCTCCTAATGTGTCGTGTCCACCACCTCAGGCTAGGACACCTCAGGGAAAACGTATGTACAAAATCTACTGTGAAATATGGATGTCAGTGTGGCATTTGCTTTCTTCCACCTTTATTGTTTCTCCCCCTGCAAATAATTCCCCCCACTGGCCTTTTCAACTACCAATTCGTAATTAACGTAAGCCAGCAAAATACAAGTGGCCTCTTTCTAACAGTCAAGCTACAGTCCATTCTCTTCCACCTGCCCTCCATTACAGCCATTAACTGCTCTCTGCAGCTTATATGCCAACAAAGAAAAAGATGGCTTCACAGCTGTGACAGAATTCCATGTATGGGGGTGGCGAGGAAGGGGAGAAGCATCTTGGGACTCTAATCCAACCAGACAGATTGAGGTCAAATGCTTCTTGCATTCAACAAGCATAAAGGGGGAAGAGAAAGGAAAAGCCACAGAAATAAGAGGTGGCAAGTGCCTATAGGGTGCCTCACATTCTGCTGTAGGGCCTGGTATTGTTTAGACATTTGGGCTACAACACCTACCAGCCCCAGCCAGCATAAACTCTGGAGGTCAACGCACTGTCCGTGGCTGCTACCCCAAAGCAGCTGAGAGTTGGAAATGGCTCTGAGGACCAATGCATGTAGGATATTTGAAAGTGTCTGCAAGTGTATGCTTTAGGTGGCTTGCTTTTTCTTGCCTCCCAGATCCCTCTCCTTATTTCTCTCCAAAACACAAGCCAAGGAGTTCATGGGCCCATACACACCATACATTTTAAGCATCACCACAGTACTTTAAATAGTCATGGCTTTCTCCCAAAGAATCCTAAGTGTCGCTTGAGTTGTTAGATCCCTGTTCTCCCTCACAGAGTGCCAGTTCTCAAAGTTCCCCTGGAAGAGGGACTGAGAGTGGAACTGAACAAGCCTGGAGATTGAGAGCAGAGACAGTAAAGGAATTTGTACCCAGGGTTCACAGTTTAAAGAGGAGGCAAGGAAGAGATGACACAAAAGAGGTGTGGAGAAAGTGGACAGAGAAGTTTTACTCCTCCTCTCGCAACAACAGAACTGGGGACATCCAATGAAGCTGGTTGGTGGAAGATTCAGGACCAGACAAAAGAAAGGACCCCTTTGACGCAGCGCACACTTAAACTGCAGAACTCACTCCCACAGGACACAGTGATGGCCACCAACTTAGATGGCTTTAAAACAGGATTAAGCAAATTCATGACGAATAAGGCTATCAAGGTTATCTGAAGAAGTGTGCATGCACATGAAAGTTCATACCAATAACAAACTTAGTTGGTCTCTAAGGTGCTAGTGGAAGAGATTTTTTTTTATTTTGTTTCGAGTACAGCAGACCTACCTGTCTCTAAGGCTATCAGTGGCTACTAGCCATGCTGGCTATGCTCTGCCTCCACGATTGGATGCAGTATGCTTCTGAATACCAGCTGCTGGAAACAAAAGGAGGGAGAATGACCTGATGCTCAGGTCCTGCCTTTGGGCTTCCCATAGGCACCTTACTGCCCCCCGCCCCCATGAGAACAAAGTCTGGACAGGATGTTCTTTCCTAAGCATCTACAGTGGGAGACATAATTATTGACTAGAGGAGAAGAAGAAAAGTTTGCATTTGATATCCCGCTTTGATGTTGTTTAGTCGTGTCTGACTCTTCGTGACCCCATGGACCAGAGCACGCCAGGCACTCCTGTCTTCCACTGCCTCCCGCAGTTTGGTCAGACTCATGATCATAGCTTCGAGAAACATCCCGCTTTATCACTACCCTAAGGAGTCTCAAAGTGGCTAACAATCTCCTTTCCCTTCCTCCCCCACAATAAACACTCTGTGAGGTGAGTGGGGCTGAGAGAAGTGTGACTAGCCCAAGGTCACCCAGCAGCTGCATGTGGAGCAGCGGGGAAACGAACCCGGTTCACCAGATTACAAGACTACCACTCTTAACCACTACACCACACTGGCTGCAGATGGGTGGAGGTGTATTTTATTCATATGCTGAACTGCCCTTTGACCAAATATTGCCAGAAAATAAAAGACAACAACAACCCACTATATTTATACATAAGTACACACAAAGTCCTGAGTATTTTCACGTCTCGGGAAAACCCCCAAAAACTTGCTCACACCAGACAGATATTAATTTAAAATGGCACCCTTGTTGTGGAAACACTGGCAATTTTGTCATTCTGGCTCCCTGTGTGAATGACTAGTAGGTATGTAAATAAGCCACTCAGCTTCCTTTTATTTTTATTTTTTTCCAAAGCAATGGTAAGTCAGCAGGTCATGACCTAGAAGGTGGGAAAGGCAGAGCTATGGATAGAATGTCTTGCCTTTGCTGCACCAATGACCCAGTGTTCCTTGGAGACAAGGCACACAGCTGCCACAAGATCAGCACCCCTTTCAAAAGGGAAGCCAGACAATATAGCAGGCAGAGACCACCACCAGACACATATATAGTCAATGCCAATGCCCCCTGCAGCATAAATAATAACCTCTTTGCTCCTCATAAAAAAATCTCCAATATACCCAAAACATCACATTCATAGTTATGAGTCATCTTTCCCCACAAAAATGATCAATTCTTTCTTCCCTGCTTCCACAGCAGCTCAGCAGGCGTCCACATTACTGCTGTGGACATCACCCCGTTCCTATGCTTTCAATTTGCCTTTCCCTTTTTCCAAAGCCCCCATAAGATCCACTTAGGAATGAAAACAGTTTTGAGGCACTTGCAAGCGTTCCATCTCAGTATTTTGGGTGAGGAGAAGTCACTCCACAGAAATGGCTTTCCGTGGAGCAGGAATCTGGCCCACCAGTTGTAGCACCCGCTGGGAAAGGCAGAGGCTGGTAGGATGGTGGGAGATATATTGACACAGAGCGTATGGACAGATAGAGATAGACAGCACCTGGGGGAGCAGCAAAGACAAAGGGGAGTTTAGGTAACCCGAAGTCAATGGCTCCCAGACCTCACCCCCCCTTCACTTCATTTCCACCCCGACACTTAAGTCCCTCCATTCCTCTGACTCACCTTGCCACTACGGCAAACTCCCAGCAGGCTGTGGGGCCTCTCGTCATCAAGTACAGTAGCGAAAAGGATATCTAAGACCAGGTGGATGCGATGGATGGTTTGTGCCGTCTCCACGTCAGCAAGGAAGAGAAATGCATGCTTGGTAAGAATGACCACCACACCCAAGTGGGGCAGGAACTAAAAGGATAGAAAAGCAGTTGCTTGAGAAGTCTGAATCAGTCCCCTTCCCACATCACATCAATATTATTTAACCATACTCTGGGATTACCAGCATGGCTCTTGAGTGCATAATGGCACTCTCAGACCACCCATCCGGGGGGCCCTGACCTCCCTTAATAATTTTTTTTTGTTAGTTTGGGGTATCCCTGTCTGCTTCTTTTGTCTATTTTGTTTCTGCTCTTGGTGTCTGTCTGTGGGGGGTGGGTGGGGATAACCCATGTTTCGCCTGTTTTTCAGGCAGTGAGGGAGTTCTAAGCACAGGCAGTTTTCCTTGTGCGAAATTGATATCTTGTGATGGCCACAGAAGTTTTAGATTTAGAAACGAGTCCCCAGGCCCAAAGAAGTTAGGCACCCTTTGCCAAAAACAGGCATGCGGAACCTTTGGCCCTCTAGCTGTTGATGAACTACAACTCTCATGGTTATGTTTTCTGGGGCTGATGGGAGCTGTAGTTCAGCAACATCTGGAGTTCCAGAGGTTCCCCGGCAATGCCCTAAAAGCTTCTTCCCCTTGTCCCAACTACTCCCGGGCACTTGGAAAACATGGCCGCCAGCTCTGGATCCAATAGCCAGACATCCACTGGGTTAGATGGGGAAGGCACAAAAAAACCCCACTACCAACTACATCAGCCTAACTGACACCTTCCAGATGTTTTGGATTACAATTCCCATCAGACCCAGTCAGCATGGGGATGAGAGAAGTTGTTGTCCAAGGTTCAGCAGGTCCATAAGCCAACTGTCTCCAAGGCAAAACTCACCTGTACTGCACTGGGGAAGTCCCCTAGCTGAGTCCCCTTGAAAGGCAAGGTGTCGCGGGCACTAAGCAAGGCAGCGTTCCCTGGCTGATGTGGGCCTAGCTCTACCACATGAAACTGCAGACACAAACAAGAAGCAAGTGCAGAGTTAGAGACTTTACTGGCTCCCTACCCAGTAGACCTTGGCTCCCAACTTCCTCTTTGCCCATCCTTACTAAGCCCCAGTCACCTGTCCAGCCTGTTCCTTGCCTCTCCGCACAGCAGCTAAGAGGGATGTTGAAGGTTTTGGATTCCTGGAAAATCTGTGCTGAGGCAAGGCTACTGCTTGGGCTTCTATGACCTGAGACAGTGGGCCCCCTCGCCAATACAGCTGGGTCAGGCCCACAACTTGGCTCTGTGAGAAAGAAACACAGAGAGAGAGAGAGAGAGATTCAGAGTAGGGGTAGCCAATGCTGCTTAGACTACAACTCGCACCATCCCTGACTACTGGGCCATGCCAGTTAGGGCTGGTGGGAGCTGGAGTCAAGCGATATCTGAGGCATAATGTTGGCTATATCTAGGTTAGAACAGAGCCACCAAGCCGTGTAATGGGTTTAGAAACAAGAGACTTAACTTATAGCATTTTTTAAAAATTGGGGGGGGGGGGAATGGATAAGCTGAAAGAAAAAGGGATTGACAATGAAAACCAGAGAAGGGTGGTGGGAAGTCAGGGGATTCCGAGAATCCTAAATGTGAAGGTGAATGATATGTTTAAATTGAAATGTGTTATGTAAAACTTAATTAAAATATTTTAAAAATATAAAATAGAAACAAGAGACATATCATAGCCATGGGGTCAGAGAATTATGTACCTGCTCAAGTCCTAGAGCCGAGAGAGCCATCCACATATGACTGGCATCCCGTTGATATCCTACCACCTCCATGCCACAGAGACGTTCATGTCGGCTAAACTGCCAACTTGGTCCGGAACCTTGAAGGGAGATTACAGACAAGGAATGGAGTCAAGGTCTTCTGCTCAATTCATATGGCTTACGTGATAGATTAAGTAGGGAACTTCTGCCCAAGGGGTTCAATTGGACATGCCAGGCCCGTTCCGTAACCAGTGGTGGCCAAACTTGGCCCTCCAGCTGTTTTGGGACTACAATTCCCTTCATCCCTGACCACTGGTCCTGTTGTCTAGGAATGATGGGAGTTCTAGTCCAAAAACAGCTGGAGGGCCAAGTCTGGCCACCACTGCGCCTAAACCACACTCACCTACCCATCAGTGATTATGTCAGCTGATGGGTGAGAGGACAGGGTTCAATCCTGCACTAGCTATGCTGTCCTGTTCCTAGGAGGCAACAGGATCACACAGCCAAGGCAGCAGGATTTAATCTAATGAGCTAATGTGCCAAGATTGAAGTGCTCTGTCTTCTCCTTAAAGCTGCATATGGTGCTACTGCTGCCACCCGCCCACTTAAAGGAGAAGCTGAGCAAAGTGTCAATTGAAACAGCTTCCCCGGGGGAAAGAGTCTGCTTCAAAGGGCACTTTACTGCTTTAGGCCAATCCTCCATGGATAGATCTTCAAACTACCCCTGCTTTTAATTTTCATCACAGTAGACTGTTGAGGCAATGCCAGCACACTGCTTCCCCACCAATTCCCTTCAATAATCACTAACTTATCCCATAAACTAGACAGCCTGCCTCTCCTACAATGCATGTGTCCTTTGTCCTTTTACTCCCAACTCCATCCATCAAGCACCCTTGGTTTCACCACTTAACTCCATTCATCATTCTGCCTACAACCTGCCCCTGCCAAGGATTCTTTCATTACAGCCACCCCAACAACATCTTCCCCAAGTCCCTCAAACACTCACGTTTTACAGTCCAGTGGAAGACATCCTCCTCAGTCACTACAGCCAGAATGTCAGCGTTCAACCACACCCAGTACTCTATAGGATGAGCAAATTCCCACTGGTACCTTAAGGAACGCTGGTCCACGTCGTAGACCTGGGCCAGCTGCCCCGCTAGAAGGAAGAAGAGGGAAGGTTAAGACAACTGCTGCGGTTTGAGGGAGTGGAGCCGCTTGACAGTGAAGGCCCCTCAATTTATAAAACAGACAATTCACTGTATTTTAGATGCACCTGTGTCTCTTCTGCAAAACTGAATGAGAAGCCCCCATAACCAAATAGAAAGCAGGTAAATAATATGGAAAGCTACAAATGAGAACCTTAGGACATGGCAGCTCATTCACCAGAAATGATTTGACGTTTCCAAAGGCTGCACAGAGAGCGCTTGGCATTACCAGAACATTAAGTGGGTCAGAGACAAAGAATTCCTTTGGAAATGTTGCTATCCCAAGGGATAACAAATACTCCAACCTCTCCCACAGTTTTAGAACAACCACTGCCCAAAATAAAATGACAGCCAGACGGTGTTACCACCTTCCCTCTTCTAAGCCTACCTCCCACTCAAAGACACCTCAGTTCAATTCAAGCCCTTTACTTCTCTGCAATAACACAAGTCCTCCCCCTTCAGTACCAAAATGACCCTCTAGCATTCACTTTCCATCACTCGCAATTATTTTTCCTTCACCCCATCCACACTGGATTGCTTCCAACGCAAGTCCTACTCTAGAGCAGACCCACTGAAATTTAAGGACATTTGTAACTTAGGCCCACTCATTTCAGTGGGTGTAGTCTGTGGCGAATTTAGTAACACACAACACCCCGACTTCCTCTCCTTTGCTCAACTCTACTTTCCTATAACCAGATAGCGTTCCTATTAATGAAATACCGTGGACGCTTGGGTTGCGAACCCACAGCGTTTGCAACCCGCGTCTGCGCATGCACGGGTTGCAATTCGGCGCTTCTGTGCATGCACGACCGCCAAAACCCGAAGTAACCCCTTCCGGTACTTCTGGGTTTCAGCGATCCGCAACCCGAAAAAAAGCAACCTGTAGCAGCTGTAACCCGAGGTATGACTGTACCTCTGACAGCAAGCAGTGGACGGCTAGGATTAGCCAGAGCCCCTTGCACATGATGCAAAGTCCAGTTTGGTGGAGCCTGATCCTCCTTGGGAGATGCGCGGGGATCCAAGAGCGTCAGCGATTGCCGGGAGGAGTCCCCAGGAGGGCTGTGCCGGACACAGAGGCGAGAGGCAGACGAGAAGGTTACACGAGGGTAGGTGATGTATTCTGATACAATGCCATGGGCTTGAAGCTGCAGAGAATGGGAGTGTGAGTGGAGCTTTCCTCCAGAGAAGAGTTTCAATGCCCACAAAACTGTTTGGAGCCGAACCAAGGCTAAGGGAACAGTGTCCTTGTATGTGTACGATCTGGTGTGACCCAAGGTTGGGGTGAGGGAGAAACCCAAGTATGTCAACTTCTGCTCCTTATTTAAGCTGCTCATGTACTTTTTTTGTTGAACAAGGAACTGCAAACCAGGAACCACCTTGAGCATCATTAGGAACACCCCCCCCCCAGAAGTCAACAAAAAGTATAGGACTGAACTGCAGCTGAACTCCATGGCTGAACAGTGATTTGAACCCAGGTTCCCTACCCTCCAACTCTGCCACTATTCATTCTTTCCACCTGCTACCTCCTTATAATATCCATCATACGCTTTCAGGCCATTTGCTTGATTAGGTCTGACCTGCTCATTAGGAAATTAACTGCAGCAAAAATAAGTGTAGAAGAGTGGAAAGATTAGCAAGTACTTTGTACTGCTGACTAGTTAAAAACAACTTAATACGAAAATTAGAAAATCAACACGATAAAAATGGTTTCATGAAGATCTAATCTCGAGATTATTTCTGCCAAATGTGACGCTTTTATATTTCCCCTGTTGGAATAGAAAAAATATGGACAGCACTGAGAAATCATGTACCAAACTGAAGTCCAAAATGTATTTAAAGTGTTGATTTTTGCTATAAATTAAAGATAGAGGTACTAAGTAATAAAAATTTACACGAGTGACCCCTACAGAGTAAGATCAGAAAGAAAGAAAGAAAGAAAGAAATTGCAGGTAGCCATTTTGATAGGAACAACGTTAGGAAATAAGTCAATCCAAGTCAGGCATTAGCATTCCCATGTTACTCAACATGGAAGTGGGGATGCAACAAATAACTCCACCTTTGCATGAAGAATGCAACTGACTGTACTAACAGAGCCACTCCCTTTATAGGCACAGAAAATGTAACCTTATACTGTATAAGTATATTTGGAAGGAAGCACGGTCAGTTTCATTGGTGCTTACTCCCAGGCAAGGATGTGGAGGATTACAGCCTTAACGACTACACTCAAGACTGGTTTTCCCTTTTCTTTTCTACACCCAGAAAGGAGGAGCTCAAAAAAGTCACTGGAGAAATCCAAGGTTCTAAGGCAGCTGTGATCTGGCATCATGGGCAGAAGTCACACACCCATGTTCCCAAAGAAGTTCACAGCCCAATTATTTTCAGATATATCCAAAGAAGCTTTAAAAGTGAAACATGCCTGCATGCAAGTCAATAGAGGACAAGGTTTGCACATAGCCAAGTACTGGATTTGGGCTAGCAGGTGGCAGTGACTAGACTGACCTTGGCTACAACCTAAGTGGTCTTTTAAATGCAGGGGATTTTAGGCTAGAAATCACCGGAAAACCCAACCGGTGATATTACTGGCAGACTAAAGGGCTGGCATAAGCAGGATCTCCCAGCAGCCATCGCCAACCTGCAATATGGAGATAATGGGCTGTTTTTGTGATGGCAGGCATAGGCACTACCAGAATTTTTTTTGGGTGGGGCAGGCCTTTTGTTGGGGGGGTGGGCAGAACCTCAGTTAGCTATGTATTTTTATCGATTTTTATTGACTGGGGGGCAGCTGCCCCTCCCTGCCCCCAATGTTTCTTGAAACACCGAAAAAATTTAAAAGGCCCTTCCTCTCTGCCTGAGGACAGTGCAGTAATACTTCCTTTAAGGTTTGCTTGTGGGGGTGAAGGCATGCCCAGTCAGAACTCCCCTAACCCACCAATGATTCCTATAGGAGCAACTCTCATTTATGACCCCAGAAGAGATTTTAAAATGGCTTCCACCGGAACCCCGGAAATCTTCTATCCACACAACCACCTCGCCCCTTTCACACTCTCTGGGGTTGTATAGCGCCGCAACCAACCCTGAGCTCGACCCATTCCAAATCGCGCACCCGCCCAGGCCCGTCACCACCTCTCGAGTAACTATTTTCCCACAGAGGCCCATAGGTTAAGCTACGTGGGGCTTTTTTTTGGGGGGGGGGTTCCTGCTTACCTGAGTCAAAACTTCCACGCGGACTGGAGACACAGGTTCGCTCATAGCTTGGTATTCCGAATCAACCTGCAGTGCAGAGAAAAATAGGAGCAAATGGTGCGTGGGAGAGAAAAGGGGGACACGTGGGGAGAGGAGCGGCATTGGGGAAGGTTTATGGAGTCGGGAGTGATAACCCAGGCTAGCAAGTAAATTAAAACACGAATTAAGAGTAAGAGGCCCACCCCGAGGAAAAACTGCAACTAATCTGTGAAAACAACTGCACCACAAAGTTCAATATTTGAGCCTTTAAAAACTTACAGGGAAGCGCCCCGCGTAGCTGGCAGTCTTCCCCACCGCGGCTGCCCAAAGTTCCTATTCTTTCCTCCTCCTTTTTCCCCGGATTATAATGGCGTTTCAAGGCCATTCCTGCCCTCTTTCCCAGGTGTACATGATCTTGCTTTCAGTCTCGATCCAATTAGCCCTAGCAAAAGGGAGGATCCCTCAGCCAGATCTCTCTCTACTACTCCAACCGGTTCGACCAATCCCAGACCAAGGGCCCCATGGAGAGCAGCCTGATGCGGACCCAGGAAAAAGGGGGAGGAAAGCAACCAACTCGTCCCACCCGGAGCAAGCGGATAGGAAGCCGTTGTGTATGAAAACCAACAGCCTAACGATCTGCTACGCGCAGAACACAGATCGTGGAGCTTGCACACCCGCCTTGGTATTTTGCACGAGAAAGCGGCATATAAATGCTTTTATAAATACAGTGCAATATATAACTCTTGGATGTTAGAGGCATATCAGAAGGAGCTGTGGCTAGCAGAAGATCTGGGCTGCAGACCAGAATCGGAATCAGGTTCGTTGCTGGGTTGTCTTCAGCCCAAGTTCCTGATAGTGCAGAGAGCTGAAAATCCATACTGGCTCCTCCTAGGTTTTCTTCGGAGCAAGACCAATTAATTTCAGCGGTGCTCATTTCTCAAGGCCTTGTCCTCAAGAAAAGGTAGTAAATGTGACTCTGGATGGTGCCGATACAGACGTGGAATCACCCAACAGAAATTCTTTTTCATGCAGAACAAACCCTGCACATCGAGAATGGGATGTCAGGAAGAGAGCAAAAACTTCTCGCCTTGGCGCGCCTGTTTTCTATGGGGTTTGGGAGGGAGGCGAGAAAGGGAAGGGAAGGGAAGGGACCTTTGTTTACGCTCAGAGTAGCATGCAATCAACGTGAGCCCCCGCTTTCAATTTGAAATCGAGCTACTCAGATACAGTAATTGGTTAGTCCTGTTAGTATCTGAGTGAAAATAATACCCAAGTAATAACTTGAGCCTATGAACATTTAGAAGTCTCACCTCATTCCACAATATTTACTCCCAAGTAAGTTTGCACAGGATCTGAGCACATAGCAGCAATCCTATGCGTTCTTACTTTGGAGCAAGCCCCGCTGAAATGAGTGGGACTGACTTGAAAAAGACGGGTAGGGAGTAAAAGGACCCTAAGCAGATTTGCTTAAACATAATTCCTGCGTACTTCGACGGCACTTATTTGGTGGTGTGTTTAGGATTATATCCACTGAACTCCCAAGTAGCAGGATTGCTGATTTAGAAAGGTCCATATTGCTTGAGCAACGACTTGGTAAACACTGCTCTCTAACAAAATTTGCTCCCGATCTTGAAGGACTCCAAAATCTGATAATCACCACTATCAACACACACGAATCCTGGGAATTGTAGATTGTTAAGGGTGGCAAGTGTTATAGCTCTGTAGTGTAGGGGTAAACTACAGTTCCCAGGATTCAAGTGGGGGTGGGGGCAAGAAATGTGATTTAAATGTGTGGTGTGTATGCCCCAGTGCGCACTATGTATGTCCCAATGGGGTGTGCTTTAAAGTGTGTTTGCATAGTTTATAATTACTGGAAGGAATATTCTGATAGAGCCCAGAATTCTCTCCCCCCCCCTCCAAAGTTCTTCTTGCAAGACATTTCCCAATGTTTGTGGTATTACCCACTGATCACAATCAGGAACATTTTATGGTAATAGTTTAATGTTTCATTTGAGCTAATGATTCTGTAAAAGTATTTTGTTGATGGGGTGTGTGTGTGTGAGAGAGAGAGAGAGAGGATTTCAGGCATTTTGTAAACCTGAGGAGTTTTTTTTCTGGACCTGTTTTTCAGATTGCAATCTTTGCAAGTTAGAACTTATCTACTAATTTTCTTGGTTAGGCTATTTCAGTGATGTTGTATTGTCAGTTTTTCAAACCTTCTCCAGCATTCTAAACTGAGCAACAGTGAAATTCAGATCTTCATCTCTCTCAAAATGTCTCTTCCCCCCTTTTTATTTTACTTTATTTCATTCCATTCCATTTATGAATCACTTCCTATGAAACATCTTTAAGTAATTTAAAACATTAACAATAAAACATATATGAAAAGATTTCATATATGAAAAGGATTTCATATCCAATAAGGAAACAGACTGGGATAAAAGGCTCTATTTAAAGGCTTGTTGAAAAAAAGATGATCTTCAAAAGGTGCTGAAAAGGCAGTAGAAACAATGTCTCTCTGATATGTAATGGAAGCCTGTTCCAGATTGATAAAATTAATCTGAATTAATTAATTAAACTTCCTTTTAAGAGTCTCTGTTTTAGTGAATGAGGAGGGAAGTGAGGGACAGATGGGGCTTATTAACCTGGGAAGGTAGCCCATCTAGAAGGAAAACTCTTGATCCTAAACTTCCGCTGCCTTGTGGGATATCTTCCAGAGAAAAAAAAAGCTAAGGAGTACACATATCCAGAGTCGATTCCCTAAAATGGTTGGATGGTATCTTGCATGCCTTCTCCTGACAACTCCTGCAGCCAAGCTGGTGCCAAACCAATTGCTCTTCTTTCCCTTGGACCACATCATCAAGGCAGAGGAGAGGGGGCTTGTCGTCTGAGCAACCCAAGACCTCCATACATACTGCCCAGGCTTGCACCCTGGGGAGGTCAACTGAAGTGCCGCTAACAGAGCAGTTTGACTTCACCCCAGAGGGGCATTCCATTATCTCTCGAGACAGACAGATGCCAACGACAAAAAATACTGTTTCTGGCGGTCCTGAAGTTCCAGCTCCCTTTTTTGAAGTGGGGTTTGGTTTTTTTTTAGTCCTTTGTGCTGTTTACTCATCTTTTGGTCCTTATCTCTTAGCCCTTGGCATTAAACCCATTCCTGAAGCTCTTATTCCTCCTAGGAAATCATCCACCTGGAATCTAGAGTCTCAAAATGAGTCCCCCTTCCTGCCACAACCCCCCCAACTTGTACTTTTGGTAGTAGTGTGGGACTTTCCAGCTGATATCACTGCAGTGCATCTAGGTATCACCCTAACAAAAGATAGCATTCCCCTCACCTCCAGGACAGCCTTTTCTTGTGAAGCATTAAGCTGGCAAGAGCCTCTTCCGGAATACTCTTCCGGAATACAAAGCTCTTCTGGAGCTTTGGAATGTGTTTTCTCACAATGAGATCAAGGCGCCTAGTAACTTCCTTTCAGCACTCTTTGAGCAGTGGAGTATTCCAAAAAAACAAAGCAAAACAAGATTATTTGGTGAATTGGTCCAGGGAAGAACATGATGGGGTGTGAGGGGACTGTGTGCTCTATAGTTGTGATGGGAAAGAAGTGACAAGTTCTGTGAGGATAAATGGCAAAGATCAGTGTTCACCAGGGAAACTGTGGCACCTTTCTGGTATAACAGAGTCCAACCTTTTATTTATTGTTTGTGTGAAGTTTACATTTTTGCTGGGAGGATATTCTGGGACGGAATGAGTGGGCCCAGGGGAGCCTTAACTCTGTGCTAATGAAGTTTGTTTGTTTATATATTGGCCAATAAATTTTCCCGAGTTACTTAAAAGTTAGATTGAATGGGGTTCCCTGTGGTGTGATTATATGGGTGTCTTGCGGTTGGATGTGGCAGCAGGGCAGCAAATACACATTTCTGCCACCCTCATTTAATTCACACATCATACTGGCTTATTTTTAGTATTCTGCTGCTTCTAGAGTTCTCTTTCGCTGTAGGAAAGTTTGTGCTTGGCAACGCTGAGCCTACCAGTGGAGAGGATTACTGAAAAGAGGTCACTAGCATCAGGGTTCCTTTGTTGGAGATAGCATTGCCGGGTCCAGCCCCCAAGTGGGCTTCTCCATCTTTAGACAGTTGCACAGAAGAACTGGAAATGTCACAAGTGTGGCTCTTCTTATTTCACAGCAGTGGTGGCAACAGAAGCTTCCGCGAACGAAATCTTCCCTTCTATGGAATTTTGAGCAGTTAAGAACATAAGATATGACCTCATAATGGCCAAATAGATGCCTATGGGAAGCTGGCAAGCATGGCCCAAGTGTAAGAGTACTCTGCCACCCTGCAGTTTCCAGCAACTGGTATTCAGAAGGACACAGCCTCCAACCATGGAGGCAGAGCATAGCCATGATGGAAGTCACAAACCGAAACCTTTCTGAGTTCTGTGAGATTTTCACTCTTGTAAGGCTGCAGTATTAAGCAGACTTTATATTACTTCCTAGGAAGTAAGACCCATTAAAGTTGATCAAAGTTAGTGGTGAACTTATTTATGGGGAAACTTTAAAATTAGAGTGTAAGTAAGCTTAGATCTGCAAACTTAAAAGTTCTGGAATCCCTTTGTACTCTGGAGAGACTCAGAATTCCTAGCTGAGCACTCGGAGTGCATTGTCACTAAGAACTCTGCCATTAAAAATTCCTTGTTATGGATCTGAGCTTTTTGTGACTGGAATGAATAATATCACTTTGCAAAATTTAGTTCCTCTTTTGAGTGCTTTATACTGCTTTTTAAAATCATAAACCTGGGAAGGAAGTAGTAGGGGTCAGCAAACTTTTTCAGCAGGGGGCCAGTCCACTGTCTCTCAGACCTTGTGGGGGGCTGGACTATATTTTGGGAGGGGAAATGAACGAATTCCTATGCCCCACAAATAACCCAGAGATGCATTTTATATAAAAGCACACATTCTGCTCATGTAAAAACACCAGGCAGGCCCCACAAATAACCCAGAGATGCATTTTAAATAAAAGGACACATTCTACTCATGTAAAACACA